CTGGCGCGTTTCCGGCCCAGGCGAGCGGTCTGACAAGGAGAGGCCCTGCCCATCACTCTGGTGAGAGGTTCCCGCTGCCACTCTGGACCGAAAGGTTGCGTAACAGAGTGAGTTTGCAAGCCTAACTCCAAATTCGCGTTTGTTAGCTTAATTAGTGACGATTTGTCTGACAGGATCAAGGATTTTTACCTTGTTATTTGGTAGCATGGTCACTGGTTCCTTGTGTAGTTCACTTTCAGTGTTCTGTAAACCCTTAATCCCAGGGACCTTCTAGTTATGCTTGAATTTATATTTTACATGCAAGTTTTGAACCACTGTTAAAACTTAATACACTTTTTATTTTTAGCCTACAGTTCACCTCATAAATTGGAGAAACTGGTTGAGCTCTGTAATGCATCTATTTAGCATTAAAAAAAAAAAAAGCTGATTTTGCCCTGCTGATTTTTACAAGCTCCATCATTCTATATTGTATTCATTCTACTGTCTGCACTGTGGATTTTTTTTTAAGTCTGTGGGATTTTATTTCCTGCTTTCCCCCAAGGTCTTCGTTTTGCATCAACTACAGCTGGTGTCAAAACTGAGACTAAAGTGGACACAAGCGAAAATGAGATTGTTGCCCCAGACTTCACTAACAGGAATCCTCGGAACTTGGAGGAGTTGGCCCTGGCTAGGAAGGAGCGTGGCTGGAAGACAACGTGGCCAAAGCGTGAGTTCTGGTATAGGTGAGTTGGAAAGTCACCAGCAGAAATGAAGACTCCAAAAGAAAACAAAACAACAAACAAAACAAAAACCCCAAAACCCACCAGGTGGAAATTATACAAAATGCGCTTTGTGGGTTGCTGAATCAATCGCTCCCTTAGTTGTTCTTAACAGATGTCTTCTGTATTCAGAGAACAGTAAGCTAGCAGCACATGAAAGCTAGCATATGCATTGAAGATCTTTCCCTCTGTTGTTAAGGTGGCAGTAATATTGCTTAAGCAACCTCTGTTTAATTTAGGATTCTCCTAGTCCTGTGCTGACCATGGATTGTCATTTTATTTGAGGCACTTTAATAAAATAATCTGGGGTGGTGGTTTTTTTTTTTGTTTGTTTGTTAGAAAATGCTGATTGCTTTTCCTCAGGAAAGTAAGTTCATTTTAAGCTGGAGATTCAAAATCGTTATTTTGCTCTTTAGGGGAGAACCATGTCCAGTTTGTTCATATGTGGAAACCTGATACTGTCTCAGTGCAACAGAAAATAGCTGCTCCTGCTACTCTGTGGTTATGCATTGTGGCTTATGAAGTACTGCTTGACCACTTGCTGCTCCTGACAAGTTGTCACCTGCTGCATAAGCAGAAGCCTTACTGAAGTGGCTGCTTAGCAAACCTCAGGTTACATGCTGGCTGGAGCAGTTCCTCTGATCTGGCTTGTGCGCTCCCATACCATGCTGCGCTGGCATACAGTGCCTGGCTGATGTGAGTCTGGTGTAAGGCAGCCTAGCACTGTCACCTGCATAACTGGTGAAAAGTTGCTCTTGGAATTTCACTCTGTTGAACTGGTAAAATGAGTCCTATTTTATGTTCTCATAAAGTAAACAAAAACCTAGATAAGAAAAGCAATATTAAGAAACCATTATTGTATTAATAGCTCCAGCACATTCAGTTTTATTTAAAGTCACTTATGCATGTAAGCATTTGAATGTGTTCTTTTTTTATATCTGGAAAAGACACCCCATCCCATGTCCTTTCTTTCCTTCACTCAGATTACGGCTTGAGCGGACCCAGCATTATGTAGAAGCCTTCGTTGAGCGCTGTAATGGGGATGTTGTGGTATCTGCCTCTACCCGGGAGTGGGCCATAAAGAGACACCTATACAGCCCCAAGGGAGTAACAGCATGCAAAAACCTTGGCCGTGTAATGGCACAGCGCTGCTTGGAAGCAGGAATCAACTTTGTGAACTTTAAAGCCGTTATTCCCTGGGAACGTCGTTGTGACTCGGCAAGTACCCATCTCCCTACACTTGTTTGGCCCCTTTTTAAGCCTTAATTTTACTCCTTTTCACCGTTAGTTTTCGTTTGTGGCTTGACAGTTCCTTCTTGCAACACTCAGAAGGCAAGCCTGCGTTGCTGGCATTGTGCTTCAGCGAGGCTGTTCACCCCCGCCACACCAAGCAACGTCCCCGCTGCAACTGCAGTGCTGATGGCCTTTCCTTGTATTTACCCCCCCCCTTCTCTCTCTCTCTCTTAAACAAGATTCAGGAATTTGAAAAAGCTATGGAGGAGGGTGGTGTTGTTCTGCGTGAGCCACGAAGAATCTATCAGTAATGTGGAGACGGCTGGGAAAACTTTCCAAGGAACAACCACCAATTCTTTTTGTGCAGTGAAGGTTCAGAGCTGCAAAAAGTTGGAACATGGCATCTTATTATATAATAAAATGTTTTAAAATGCATGGAAGCGTGTCTCATTCTTGATTCTAAAATCATCAGCACCTTTCCTTTAAGGCTAGAACAAACTGCTGTAGTTCATCCTCATGGACCAGCAGAATTTACTTCAGAATTCAATGATTTTAAAGTATATTTTATTTTTTATATTTTATTTTTGTCTTTGCTGTCACCTGAACTCTTTTAAATGCTTGATCCATGTACACTGCCAGTCCCATTTAGCAAAAGGCAATGATTTATGTGCCTTCGTTTTCTGCGCCCACCTGCTCCCCG